AAAGAAAGAAAACCTGAAGCTGGAAAGAATTACATGTGAAAACATGAAACATAAGCATAAATATGGGAAAGCTCAATACAATGAAAGATGAATCAACTACAATTGACATCTTTGGCAATGACAAATTGAAAGGAGTGAGATTTACAGTTTTACTCAGAAAATCATACAAAACATAGAAACAAAGAAGAAGCAATGTTGCTTTCATGATCAGGAAGAAATCAGTCTACACACCAATAGTAAAGAAAGAAGATTTAACAGAGTGTGGAAATCATCATACATTTTCCTTATTTTCACTTGCTAGTAAAATAATTCTTAGGATTATCTAACACCAGTTACATGAAAAGAGAGATGCCAGGTATTTGAGATAGTTTTAGAAAAAAATAAAGATCAAATATTAGTGCTGATGCCCACTCAACAATTGAAAAATTAAAAGCATATTTCTCAAAAATGAGTATGTGCCTCATTGTTTATAAAAGCCATTGATGGTGTAAAGCTAGAACATCTATTATCGCAATATCACAGGAAGCTATAGTCCTGATAAAACATAGCAAATTGCATGGTAATTGCTCTGGATTGGTAAAGAAAAAGTTAAGTATGGTTTTTAAAATTGGAGGAAGAAACATCAATAATCTTGCATTATGTTGAAGACTAGTTTGACATGCAAATGATTTGCAAGCTTTAAATATGAAAGTCAAGGAGCACAGTGAAAAAATGAGACCAAGAATAAACATAAAAATACTAGATTAATGACTGCAGATACAGGAACCATCCTTGGAATAACAATGAAGAAATTGAAATAGTGGATAGCTTCTGCTTTTTAGGGTTAAATAAAGAAATCAGCAGTCAAGAAATACATCACAGATTAGCATGTGGTAAAGTAACAAAAAAGAAATATTCCGATGCCACAGAGTGCCTATATGGGCAATGTTTTTCCTGTAATAATAGTGTGAAAGTTGCACTTTAAAAAAGAGTGTTAGAAACAATATTGATGCTTTTGAACTTTGATGTTGGAGAAGACTCCTAAGAATATCATAGGTGGCCAAGAAAACAAACAAATGAGTCATGGAAAAAAAATCAATTCAGTGTTCTTATTTGAGGCACAAATGATCTGGCTCAAATAATCATATTTTGGGTATATTATAAAAGATATAGCTATAATGACTATATCTGTAGTTGCTAAGAATTGACATCAACTTGATAATCTATATTCCATCAAAAATGTTTATCATTTCCTATTATAACTTAAAGGTTGCATGTTTGTATTGCACTTTGTGATATAGAAGTTAAGCTGTGAAATGCAGTTTATTTTGTTTTATTTATCTAATATATGTAGCTGTCCATCTCACAAGTAAGTGATTCTGGGTACAACTGCATGCGTACAACAAAACTAAAACAATAAATATTATTATTGAAAATACTAAAAACATTAAAAAGATATAAAAACAGGTAAATGAGATTTATTTATCTAATTTATCAATTAGTTCATTGGTCAATTAATTAATTAGTTAATAATTAACTCATAATTATTGAGCAGGGTTTCCCAAATTCCAGCGTTCTTGAACCTAGTAGTCTTTAGAAGATTGGTACCATAACACAAGGATTTTCTAGACTCTATTCTCTAACCTCTTTTTGCAGAAGGCTGTGGAAAATGTTGTAGAGCTACAATATCCTTGATGGAGCAGAATGTACAGATCCTTTGCAGCAGGGTTCAAACCTGGTATTTCTTAATAATCTCTGGTCAGATCCTAAGGAAGTTTGACCCTGCTTAGCTTTTCCAGATCAGCCAAAGTCAACTAGGCGTTTCCAGATACAAACTATAGCTTTCCATTGCACATTATCACACTACAGGTGGTCCTCAACTTACAATCACAACTGAGCCCAAAATTTATGCTGCCAAGTGAAACATTTGTTAAATGAGCTTTGCTCCATTTTATGACCTGTTCGCTGCTGCTGTGGCCTGTTCCCTGCCACCCATTCACCACCACCTATTTGCCGCCGCCTGTTCGCCACCACCCATTCGCCGGCGCTGCGGTCTGTTCACTGCCACCCATTCACCGCCACCAGTTTGCTGTGGCCCACTTGTTGCAGCCCATTAACCATGGCCCATTGCTGCGCAGCCGTCACTGTGGTCTGTTCACTGCCACCCATTCACCGCCACCAGTTCGCTGCGGCCCATTCGCTGCAGCCCATTAACCGTGGCCTGTTTGCTACGATGGCCTGTTCTAGAACAGCTGATCAGCACCATACCAACCCCCCCTCCCCCCACTGCAATATTCAGTGTATATGACACACAGATATTTCCACCCACTATTTTTTTGGGGGGGGGGGGGAAGTGTGTCTTATACTCCGAAAAATATGGGTAAATACAGCAACATATTTATTACATATTTATTTGTTGGAATTGTCAATAAAATAAATATATGTTTAATTTTAATGACCATTTACACTTTTATTCCCGTGAGTAGTTGTTGTAGGGGCCCCACTACACTGCTTTGCCCATAATGCTGTTTAGACGGCCCAGGAGGATGACCAGTATTGTTCAGCTATTATAAGTATTGTGAGAAATAGACAAAGTTATTTTGATTTCTTATTTATCTGAAGTGAAGTCTAATTCTTTCATCTAGATTTAGCCCTCTGAAAAAAAACCAACCCATGAATTTTCATAGAGACTGAAAGAAAAGGTTCCGGATGCATTTCCTCACATTCAGAGTGAAGCTGTCATAAGCTTTGCGAGAGAGGGCCTTTGCTAGCAATACATTACCTTCCATTTTGCTCTGGCAAAGTTCTTTTCAATCTGAGCACATACTCCATCTTTTATATTCTTGTCAGAAGCTGCATTGCCAGAAATCCTAGGGACAAAAGAAAAAAAAAATCCAGCCAGTTATGTCACTTCATCATAGCCCCTCCCTTAGTCTAAATGTCTTGCTTTGCTTATTGGCCTAGATTGTAGGTCCTAAATAGGAAGGCTAGAGGCAGCAATTAGCTCTCAATACAAAACAATTCACATTGTAAATGTTATGAAATCTGAACATCTTGAACTGTTATTTTTGAACATGGAGAAGTTATATTGTCCCTGTTCATGTTTCTTGGCATTGTATAGTGGTCTTTAGAATTCTTTTTTTCCTTATGGAGTAACTATAGGGCTCTCACCATTCATGAGAGATAGCTTCTTCTGCTGTAATTCTCTGGTCTTGATCCACCTCCATCAGACGGGCTACTAGGTCCTTAGCTAAAGAAAAAAAGAAGAAGGAAGATTACTTTTAAATGGCATCAGTGGGAGTGAAGGTCACAACAAATGCCACAATGGCTTTGCAACACAGAAATTCTGAAAGGACTACCAGTACATAAAAAAATTATGTGTATCTTTCAGGCCAAAACAGATACGACACAAAAGTAATTTAGTATGACTGACTCTTTTTGTATATAAAAACAGCCTTGGGAGCTCACAATATTTCTGTTAAAAATTGCCAGAAAGGTAGGAGTATTGGAAATTATAATCCAGAGGATGCAATGATTGGGAAAGGCTGAGTTAAGAATCTCAGTGAACTTGTATTTGCCCTTAAAATTTTGGGTTACAGTGTGCAATTTCTTTTTCTTGCCCCCACCACTCTCACAGCCTTACCTGCCTGTGAGATATCATCCCAATAAGGAGGATCAAATTCATAGTCTCCAGCCAAGATCTTGCGAAACAGGTTCTTGTCGTGGTTCTCATAATCATCCTCATCCATTTCCTCATAGAAGGGTGGGTTTCCCGACAAGCTACAGCGTAGAAATAGGAGTTCAGATTCGGAATATTTATCTTCAAATTCCCAGCCAGCCTGGTCAATGTACTGTAGCAGCTCACTGGTAATTCTAAAAACTGGAATCCCAGCACATTTGGGGAAGGTTCAGCTGCTGTAGCATACATTTATTTAGCTCTTTTCGTAAGAACTTTCTACTGCTTTTTCTGCAGCAATATTTTTCTCCTGATGTCCATTCTATGTTTGGACCTTCCTCCTTTCCCTCCCTGTCATCAGGATGATCTCTCTTTACTTACAGAATATACATGATCACACCAATAGCCCAGCAGTCCACAGGCCGCCCATATCGTTGGCGCCCCACCACTTCAGGTGCTGAAAGGACAATTGTAGAAGATGAGGACTATCCAGAGGACAGGCATAATGTTTCTCTGAAGACATTACAATTACAATTTCAGTAGACAACATTTCAGGAAATATATCTTAATCCTCCTCCTCCTTTTAACAACCCCATAGCCCCTTGTGGGGCGGAGTGTGGGCAACTGAATGGAGCGGAATGCTTACTGGCGGGATGGCCTTCCTGTCACCAATGTGGAGGTTTTTTTTTCAGCAGATATAATCTCAGTGTGCCCAGAGAGAGAAATATCTGCCTCTACCAAGGATCGAACTCACAGCCTCCTGACTGTGAGGCGAGAGCTCCACCTCTAGGCCACTGCACCATTTTCAGAAAATATATTTTGGCAGAGCTAAATACAGAATGTTATGGCATTGCTCTTAATTCTATTTCAAACTGTTTTGAGAGAATTTATAGAATAAGCCTAATGAAGAAGGCACACTGAAATCTTTCTTAGTGGTATTTTAAGTTTCCATATATAAACATTTTGTGGGACGAAAATGGAACTGGAATATAGAGGTAAAATTGTGTCCTTAAGCAGTTAATTATTTCAGAAACATTTAAAATCTATGTTAGGAGTCATTTGCGCTCAAATCTGCTCTCCCTTTTTTACAGCATCTGCATAAATTTCTGGTGCAGAATGGTTTGGAATATAGGGAAGTTGATCCCTATGTTGAAAAATGTCATTTGCATTGAATCAACATATTTAGAGAAATATTTTTGTGTCATAGGCTGCATTCCCACTGAAAGAATCTGTTGGGACTACAGTGCTTGTCACTGGCATGCAACAGTATCAAACATTACTGTTTTCCCTCTCCGCACAAAATATCTATGGTAAAAATGGTGAGCTCATGGTCAAGCAGCAAGGCAGAAGGTAGTACATATATGTAAATTACTATGGACCAATAACAGGGAAGGAGTTTTATGTTTATGAGTTTTTATAGGCATCTGTTTGGAAATAAGTCTATGACTAGGTACAGGAGGGTTATTTTCTGTTCCTATAATTTATTCATTGTAATGTTGCCCTGATTTGTATGCTGTTTCTTACCGAGATATTCAGGAGTTCCACAAGGTTCTTTGATGAGCCCATTCTCCAACTTGGCTAGGTGAAAGTCACTGATCACAATCTTAGAATTCTTCAGGCGGTTGTAATATACTAAATTTTCTAGCTGCAGAAACAGTTGAAAGAGAATAGAATACTTTATTGGCCAAGTGTGATTGGACGCACAAGGAATTTGTCTTGGTGTAAATACTCTCAGTATACATAAAAGAAAAGAAACATTTGTTAAAGATTCAAGAATCATAACGTGCAACACTTAATGATAGTCATAGGGTACAATCAGCAATCAAATCATATTAGGAAAACAGTCAATATAAATCGTAAGGATATAAGTGACAAAGTTACAGTCCTACAATCACAAGTGGGAGAGGATGGGTGATAAGGAGTGATGAGAAGATTAACAGTAATAGTAGTGCAGACTTTGTAATAGTTGAACAGTGTTGAGGGAATTATTTGTTTAGTAGAGTGATGGCTTTTGGGAAAAAAACTGTCCTTGTGTCTAGTTGTTCTGTTGTGCAGTGCTCTATAGTGTTGTTTTGAGGGAAGGGGTTGAAACAGTTTATGTCCGGGATGTGAGGGGTCTGTAAATATTTTCACAGCCCTCTTTTTGGCTCGTGCAGTGTACAATTGAAGGCAGGTGGGTAGTAATTGTTTTTTTCTGCAGTCCTAGTTCTCCTCTGAAGTCTGTGTCTGTCCTATTGGGTTGCAGAACCAAACCAGACAGTTATAGAGGTGCAGATGACAGACTCAATGATTCCTCTGTGGAACAAATATATGGATGAAAGAATGAAGGCAAGAGGATAAAACTGCTGAATGGGAGCATTATTTCCTTCTAGATGTAAGTGTTAGCTTACGTGCATGCTTATACATCCACACAATCACATCATGCTTCTGGGAAAAGTAAAAGGAATGATATTTGAAATGGATGTTTCTATCCATTCCTTCAACTGTGTGTATATATGGCATCATACATAGGATACCCTTCTGAAATCTGGGGGGTAGGGGGAAGGAAAGGAGCAAAAGAAGGCACTGCAATTGCTTAAATCAATTTATAAATGGAAGGAAGAGTACATGAGCCAAGAATGATGATCCGACTTGCCTTGAGATTCCTGTGTACGATCTTCAGTGAATGCAGGTATGCTACAGCCTCCAAGACCTGCCTGATGACATTACTAGTGTCACGCTCAGAGTAGTACCCTTGGTCCAAGATCCAATCAAATACCTCTCGACCAGTGGCCCTATAAATAAGGAAACAGACAAAAGCAATTGGAAAACCAAGATACTAGTTAATGCGAACTAGTATTACAAACTACAATGGATGTAGCAGAACAAAAATGGCGTTCTCATTTCACATCACTGCAAATTAGCTTTACAATAGAGAATGGAACAAAATAGCTTCCTTTGTTTGAATCCATCTGATTTGGTACATGTTAATTGTCATCACAATAGACTCTTTCCCAGCATTATTTAAAAATGCCAGGGATTGAATCAGAGGGGTTTTTTTCCCCTAGAAAAAAACAAATACAGTACTACTGAGTAATGGTTTTTTTTCTGCAGTAAAAAGAAATGATAATATAATGAGAAGGAAGGTTCCCCCTCCTGTTCTAGATGGCGTCATGAACATTTAAGGAGTTTCTGATAAATGTCTGAGAAAGCACGTTGTATTTTGGGATGGGGGGGAGGAGAGGGCAGGGTTTAGCATCATCATCATCATCATCCTATGGCCCTGGCAGCCTGAGAAGAGAACCCAATGGGTCATTTTAGGAGTTTAGATTCACACAACACCTACTTACAGCTCCAAGAAGAGGAAATACTCTTTCCGGGTAACATATACATCCACCAGTTGTAGAATGTTGGGGTGCTTTACCCTGTAGGAAAAGAGAAAAACTACTTTGAGGGTCTGCTATCAGGCACAAAAATAAAACCAGAGTCAGATATCTGCTCAGTCTTCTCAAGAAATTTGTCAAGTCACCTCGTATTCATTTACTGCATTTTAATTAGGATGTTCTACTTTGCCTAAATCTGTTCTGTTCCGCCATAGCTGAAGCCATACAACTTGTTCCATCATTAATGGATACAACGACTACTGCAGAATTCTGTTGCTTTCATCATATGCAAAATGAAAGGGAATTGCGTTGTGATATTGCAATGTTACTTTCATCAAGCTGGCATTTCCCCCTCCCTCTGATCCTTGCAGAAACTGCTTCCCCTTTCTGAAAAGTATTTTTTTATATTTAATCCTTTCTGGAGCATGTTGGTTCCTTGAATTCTGCTTTATAGGATTAGCTTTCAAGTATTATTTTGTCTTATCTTTGCGTTTGTTTTGGGGAAATCTTCAGTTCATCAACATCTATTCTGAAATGTTACATATTGTGAACTAGTATTTCTCTTATACAGCTACAGTGAATGTGTTTCTTCATGGTGATGTTTAAAATGGGGATAAATAGCAATGCCAATGGTTCTGACCAGTGGTGAACATGCCTTATGCACCCCAAATCAGGATGCCACCATCTGGCGGGGTGGGGCGGGGAAACAGGAGAGAGGCTATGGAGGCAGAATAGGAATTGACAGTATAGGACAGTATAGATCTTTCTTGATACAGTTTTGGCTGGCACTTTAATGGAATCCTGAAGAAAGATGCAGTCGCTATTCCTGAATAACTACCCGTGTTTCCTCAAAAATAACACCCTGTCTTATATATATATATATATATTTGCCACCAAAAAAGGTACCAGGTCTTATTTTCCAGGGATGGCATCCCCTGACTCACCTCACTTGTGTGCATTGCCCCCCCTGGCCTCCTTTTCATTGTCAGAGGCCTTCAGGAACTTCTTCTATGGCCGGCAAGGCTTTCCTGAAGGTCGATGCAGATGATAACAGAGCTCCAGATTGATCCGGAGCTTCGTTATGGGCTGCAGAGGCCTTCAGGAAAGTCTTGGCAGCCTTGCCGTCTGCAGAAGAAATGGGCTGGCAAGGCACAGGTGATGGGAGTGTGCGAGACCTGGCTGCAAGTGTTCAAAGGTAAGTAGTAGGGTAGCTCAACCCTCCCTGGAGTGGGCGGTGTCTTAATTAGGGCTGATTTTGAGGGTAGGGCTTATATTGGGCGCACGTGTAAAAAAATCAAGATAGGACTTACTTTTGGGATAGATCATATTTTCAGAGAAACAGTATTAGAGTTAACTGCAGCTGCATTCCATTTAGGAAAAGAATTAAATTGAACATTTGCAGCTTCAAGGGCTAAGCAAGCACAGCAATAAAGCAGTCGAGGAAGCACAGATTCTGGTATTTATTGGAATCAACCTTCTCCACTCACATCTTCAGGATGATGATCTCATTCTTGGCTGCCTTCCGCACTTTGCGCCCATCTCTCTTCAGAAACTTCTTGCAAGTATAAAGCTTGCCTGTCGATTTCTCTTTGGCACGGAATATCTCACAAAACTCCTCTCTAGGAAAAGAACACCCATCTTTAAATGTAAACAGATTGCAGCCATTTGCTGAAGCAACATAATTGTACAGCAGAGATGGTAAATAGCTTCCACTTTATGAATCATCCACTTCCCAAAAGAGACAGAAGATACATTGTGTGCTCCCTGAACAAGCTGTTATTAAGTGCATATTGACTGGGGATTGACCACAAAAGGGATGAACAGCAGAGGGGAAAACATTTGTCCATTATATGTATTCTACACGTACAACACTATAAGTGGTGTTTGTTAAAGTACCTATTATTTGCAAACTTCGGATGACCTTTAAAATTAATCCTGTCTCCCAGGATTCTGTATTTGTATTTACATGTGTTTTCATGTTGTCAATTGTGTCACTTCCTGACAAGATATAAAACAAAAAGGGAGGAAATGGAATTCAGGGGCAGAGGAAGAGTGTCACTGATATGTTCTAACCTAAATAGATTTACTAACTTAAGACAGAGTCAGAAAGCCCTGTCTTCTTTCAGGCTAAACTAAAATCCCCTCACTCAGCTTACAAGAGAGTTAACTAACTCCCTGATCGCTAGCTTTCTTAACAAAGTAAGCTAGTGATCAGGGAGTTAGTTAATTCTCTTGGCTCCTGAGTCCCCTCCCCCCAAAGCACCTCTATCTCCTGTGTAGCTTTCATACCACTCTCCACATAGAACCCTTGTGACAAATTGCAGAAAAGAATAGGTAAAATCATCCTTTGAGTTCACTCATGGTGGTGCCTACTCCAGTTGCACTTCTGTGTTGTTTAAAATCTTGCTCCAAGGGGAGATATAATAAAACAAGATAGGTAACACATACAAAAGATGATTTATGGAATTCTTTCCAACCAGCAGTAGCTCTAGGAAATACTTGCATTTTCTTCTGTGTAATCAAGTAACCCATAACTCTCTCTCTCTCTCTCCCCCTCCCTCCCCTTTTCCCTCTCCGTGTGTGTGTGTGTGTGTGTGTGTGTGTGTGTGTGTGTGTGTGTCTGCCTGCCTTTCCCTTAGAAACCATGTACTATATATAGCTTATGTGAATGGGGCTGGCAGCATAATCTCTGCTCTTGGTCACATGACCATGAAGATGAGGGAGAAGGGCTTAGAATAGCCAGAAACATTATGAGCTCCTATCCAACTATCTTGTCCATAAGAATGTATTGGATGGATTAAAAAAAAAAAACTTCCTTCACAGTTGCCAATTGCAGTCCATTTTTAAACTATTTTTTGCTAGTTTCCCCTAACACATCTGGTCCTGTTCCCCTTGGGTTTGGAGAGGTATCCCACTGACAGACAGATGAATAAGCAAAAATCCCGAACCTCTTACCAATATTACATTGGGTTGGGAAAAAAAAAAAAGACTGTGAATGGGGAAAAAATAAACCCAGGTTCCAGGACCTTTGCATGGTTGGGAAGATTAAAGCATACCAGTGTATGACAGACTCAGCCAAACACATCTGCATGTGTCTCGCTGTATCTTCTCTTGCATCTGAGGTAGCCTGAGAAAAGCTTAATGTGCTACAATGAAGAAATGGTATTTTCCCTACTGTCCTCCTTCAAAGTGCTGCATGTTGTTTATAAAGGTCATTTTGATGTGCATTGGAGAGGCAGCCCAAAAGTCATTTCAATTCCAGAAATATTGGAACTCAAGTCGGTTCTGCCATTTTTCTGTGGGAATGTCCCTTTCAATCTAGTGCCTGACTTCTTTGCTGCCCTTTATTCCTCTTTTGGCTGTGATGAGGACTGAATCTCTGGTGCCCACAACCCTCTTTTTACCCAATAAGATTTAGGGTGACATGATTTCCTGCTGGCTTCAGCTGGGAGACGAGTACAGCAGGACAATTATGTGACAAAGGCCCTGGCATTCTCCATGGTTCGTTGCCCATATATAGGTGAGTCTATAGACAGGAAAGGGATGTTTGAGTTGTTTGCAATGTATGACCACAGCTCTTTTTTTTTTTGCACAGAAGAGAGATTATGACTCTGGGAGATCATTCTGTCAGTCTGTCCATCTATTCTAAATTTTCATTTGGATCCCTGGTAGTTAACCATAAGCATAAAACCTGATAATCATTATGTTATTTTCTCATCCCTGAAATATAATCGCAGTGCTTGCTAGTCTAAACTTTATCCAAAGTCACCAATACTGAATTATCAATCAACCTGCCCACCATTCCTTAAGAACATTGCAGAGAGTAGTAGAACACCATTCTTGGAAATGTATGAAAACTGCATAGAATAGTAGAACACTTACGTTTTGATTACTTGTCCCAGGTCATATCTGTCAGTCACCTCAGATGGCTGGTTATAATCCTTCTTATCTCCCAAGGTAACACATCCAAACGGCATTGCCAAGCCTGATACTGAAAAATAAGTGCATGGAAGGCTCCGAGTCATCATTCATGAGTACAGACAATTTGAAGCACCCCAGGAACTTGATTGGGCATCTAGGGAGATCCACTCAACACTGCATCACTGAGCAAGCTGAATGTGAGCAGGTGCAGTTAAGATAGTCACATATGCTCAGATGTGGCTTGCAGTGACAGGCTGGGAAGCATTTGTGGTGCATGGCTCCGTGAAAAGATTGACCCACTGTCCAAGCTCCAGTGAAAGAGATTCCATGTCGACGAGGATTCAAAACAGAATGCAAAATAAAACTTCCATATTGTCCTGTCTTTATAAAAGTTAGGGAGGCAGTCCCCATTTGGAACGATAATTATAAACCTCGGATCATAAATGGCATTGCTGGAAAAGGTGCATGCTATCAAAATGATCAAAAAGGAGATCCTCAATAAGACAACATTATAGGGATTTTTTTTTAGTTTAGCTGGCATGCATAACTTGCCTCCTTCCTAGGCCTGAGAGAAAGTAACCAGCCTCAAAATCACACAACAGGTTTTACACCAAAAAACGGGACTAGACCTCATACATTAGTCTTCTGGTTTCTAGCATAATGCTTTAACCCAGGGGTGGGCAAACTTTTTGGCTCGGGGGCCGCACTGACTTTTAAAATTTGAC